AGAAAGGGACTAAATTGTTTAGAGTGTCGCTTTTGTGCATGGGCTGCTGAATTGGTCAATTGCTTAAAGAGCCCCATTTTGGTGTGCTGATTATAATCCCCTGAGTAAATGACCCTTTCTTTTTCTTACCTGTATCACAGATGATGTCATGTTCTTAGCAGCAACAAACACCAGTGCAATTTGGTCTGATCATTGACTATTGATTCTTCTCCCCCTAGAAAATAAAGTCAGCATTTTGTCTGGTCTCAGGGTTTCCTGGGGGAAATAGTCATCTCAAGTAAAAATCTTTAACTGAGAACATTGACCTATTCTACTTACTTCTATGTATTTATATCCTTCTATTGTACTGCTACCCCGCTCCCTCTTGTATTATGATTTGGTGGTTGGGAACCAGAGAGCTAGTAGGGGTTGGATTTTAAATGGTGCCTAAAAATATAGATGGGTGCCTAGTGGCTTTACAAAAGCCCTTAAGTAGATTAAGCACCACTGAGCTAGGCATCAATATACTTAAATGCATTTGAAAATCTCACTCTGGGTGACTAGCAGCAAGCATTACACCCAATGAGTCAGGCTACCTTTGCTGCAGCTGATAGCACCGGTCATAGCACTGGCTTGGGTGCTTTAAAAGCAAGGGGAGCAAAAGGCTGAGCTATGAGGTACTTGGGAGCTTGTATTAAAGCTAGAGATAAAACAGCAAGTGCAACTGGAGCTCATGATTATGCTGTAGGGGGGAAGTACTTAGATGTAGTGTGTTTGTAGTTAGATGTTGATGGCCCTGCTCAGACATGAGTGACTCAAGCAAACCACCCAATGACCACAATATCTGTCAAGGGACAAAGGCAATTAGATGGGCTTATTGTTAATGAAGCAAGGTGCTAGCATCCTGCAAACTCTACTAGACCACTAATACATGTGTGCCTGTAACAATGGACCAGTTCAATGAATGATGGGATTTTGCATTCCTCCCAGACAAAGATATTCTCTCTGAGATATATTTTTATACCTCAATACAAAAAAAGTGAGAACTGCCTCTTTGGGGCAGCTAGATACTGCCCTCTAATGTAACTAGTTACCACCTTGTACATAGTGGTTCAATTAATTTTTGTTAAAAATACTGTCATCCTGACTGTATCTTTTAAAAGTGTGCTCCTGCTATTTCTGGGAAATGTTTTTGCACCATCCTTAATATCTGGATGTTCTGGGATCACTTGATATTGGAAGATGTTTGTGCAAGTACTCTAACTAGCACTTCTTAGGAATGTGTATTCCTGCAATATTCTGTGTGCAGGTCCTGCCCTATATCAGGCTCTCATAAGGGCTTATGTCTCAGGCTCTCTTCCTACTATAGTATCTTCGTCTTTCTCAGGATCATCTAGCTATGAGTCCTCTGTAGAGGAAGCTCCACTCTTTCAGAACCTTCTATGTATGGGAAAGAATATTTGCCACATCCTTTGCACTCAATATGGCATTTACAGTTCCCGACTTCTGTTTTTTCCAGTCAAACTATAAAAATCAGATTTTTTGTGTGTGTGTGTGTAGCAGCTTTCATTCTCTGATAAGCCAGCTTGTGAGGCAAAAGCTGTGCTGGTGAAGAGCATTAGACCTGTCCTGAAGCATTTTGAAAGGGACTGCTGAGAGACAAGAACTGTCAGTCATTCAGAAGTGGGGAGATCCAGCAGAGCAGGCACAGATGGAGGGCATTTTGAAAGGGACTGCTGAGAGACACTGAGGGACTGCTGTGAGACAAGCACTGTCAGTCATTCAGAAGTGGGGAGAGCCAGCAGAGCAGGCACAGATGGAGAGCTGTGCCCTGCAGAGGACGCTGTGGTCTGAGAGTGATTCAGGTCCATGAAGACAATGGAGACAGTGAGAGAGTAGTGGTGAGCAAGACACCATCTTCTTCATGCTGCTGAATGAACTATTTCTCAAGATGACCAGCAGAAGGCATTATAGTGGTGAGTCTGTGCCCCATTATGTCTCAAAATTGTACATAGTCACTGGACACATGACTGCTATTATGCAGGAGAATCTTAGAACATGTTTGAATGTAAAGAAGTTTCCAAAATAACTCTGCTTTTAGATGAGCTGCCGAGTGATTAATGGATTCCACGCAACTGGTTGGACTATATGGAGGAGGTAAGTAGCTTAGAAATTATAAATCATTTTGTCTTACTGCAATTGTAAGAGGGAAAATTTTGGAGCAAATACCAGAGAGGCAGGGGATAATTAGGATAAAGGAAGAGAACAGGGAGGGAGGTAACAGAGCAATTATATGGTCATTGGCACATAATGCAATAAAATAGTTGCCGTTATTCAGACATTTTCCAGGAGTCTGATTTATATATATACAAATTGGGGTAATTGCCAGATATCTGTATAAATCACTTTTGATTCAGGGAATTGCAGCCCGGCTCATTCTCAAGAAAAAAAAATTCAAATGATGACTGGAACAAGTCCACTAACACTAATAAAGAAGGCTATTTTCCAAGCATGTATTTGTAATTTAAAACTTTATTTTGTCTGGTTTATATTCAGAACATCACTGAAAACATAGAAACTTGTAGGTGCAAATGACTTTATATTGGTACTTTTGAATAAAATATATTAGATAATGAAATGGCAATAAATACATTTGGATGATAACTATATATCTCACATACATATCTAAAATTCATGCTTTGTGAATAGTTGACATGTCCATGTCATGTTTTCATGGTGCTGAAATTTACTGTTGATGTTACAGGTCTTTAATATATGTTGAGAAACCGGGTGGGTGAGCTAATATCTCTTATTGGATCAGCTTCAATTGAGATGAGAGTCAAAAGTTTACCCAGAGCTCTTCTTCAGGTCTGAAAAAGGTACTGAGAGTGTCACAGCTAAATACAAGATGGAACATAAGTAAGCAACACACATTTAAAGGGGCCATTCAAAGTGAAGTGCTCCATTAGTACCTCCCCAGTCATTGGGCAGGGGGAGGGATCACATGGGTTTATACATTGCTGCAGTAAGTCCCTCCTTCTGCACACCTCTAGTTATTGCCTATTACTCCTCAGTGGAACACATAGGGAGTGTTGTCAGTTACATCTCACAGTTGATGGGATCACCTCTTGAAAGGTATCTTACCTGGATCCCTTCTACTGGTTGTCAAACAATGCCCCCCCCCAGAAGCTCCCCATACTCAAGGACACACTGACTCAAAACAGCACCCCATCCTACCAGAACAAAAGCAGAACCTGTAGCCATCTCTCCACAGTTAAGGTGATCTTTTAAGATCCATAGGCCCTACACATGCCTATCACAACATGCAGGGTAGCTCACCCAATGCACTAAATGCCCTCATAACACCTATGTGGGTGAAATGAGAATCACTATGCTGGAGAATGAACTCGCACAGAAAAATGATGAAATATAAAAACACCATGTCCTCTGTGAGTGAACATTACCTCTCCATCCTCCTCCTCAATTGAAACCTGCCCAATTCCTTCAAAAGATGATCCTAGGAGTTTAAATTCTTAACTTTCCTAGATACCAAAAATCAGGGACTGAATAGAGACACTGACACTGTGGCTTATTATAATAATCTATAACCTGCTAACCCCTCCAACCCCACTCCATAGCTTTTTTTTTCTTTCCCATCTCAGACTGGAGAGGTGGGAAGGGGCTATTTTATCTTGAATGATCCCTTGAAATGTGTGCTTCCTAATTATGCTCAATAATCTGTTCCACTTTGTATATAGCCGCAACGCTTCAATTATATTTCCCAGACCTGAGGAAGAGGGCTGTATGAGCTTGAAAGCTTGTCTCTCACCAACAGAAATTGGTCTAAAGATATTACCTCACCCACCTGATGTCTCTAGTCCTGGGACTGACACAACTACAACAATACTGCATTCAATATGCTCTGTTGTTTATGTACATCTTTAGAGAGCTTATGTATATTGGTATCACATTCCAAAGTAAAACACAAAAATAGAACAAAGCTCTAGTTTCTCGTTATTTCTCTTATTTGTTTTGGTTTTTGTTGTTCTATAGAGAGAAAAATCTGCATCAGTACTAGCAAAACAAATATTTTTGACTAGCTCACAGGTATGAAAATTCCAGTATTATAAACTGCATTGGCAATGCAAGGATATAAAATATTATTTTAGTCAGTGGTCCATGAATAATATTGCTTTTATACTGGCCTTGCTTTAATACATGCAAGTGCATGAAATAAATCATGGCTTATTATCTTGTTGGAGGGGAAATCAACTGGGAACCAAAGGAAATGGTCCTTAAGCCTAACCACAGGTTTTACTTGTCTACTCTCACCACAGTACTGCTCATCTCTGTTTGCCACTGAAGTCAAGGATGGTATTTGGTCCAACAATATTGACAGTGTTTGACTGAGATCTCATTTGCTAGTGCAAATCATGAATAACTTCAAAGTAAAAGCAAGTAATATTGTAATAAGTCTCTTTGTTTTAAGGTGACTTTTTAGTTTGTTCCTATACAGTTGTCAGATAAATGTAGCATGCCAGAAAAAGCTCTCAGACACAAGTCAAATACAATAGTGCCTTTGACACATATTCGTAATGTCTACTAGCATCAATTGGTGTTCATTACCATACAATTGATCTCTGTCTATGGCCTGTTTTTAATTTGTTGCTGGCTGCAACAATATTTCTTAACCATGGCCATTCCTTTATTTTTCCATTTTTGTTAATGAAGTTCAAAATTAGGAAGATAAGATTCTTTAACCACTTAAACCATTGTTTTTACAAAACAGAGTAAACACCTATGTAATTTCCACTGAACCACTAACAAATGTCTGACATCACTGATCATTAAATACGGTTTATTTTTTCAATAGCCCGCCTGCATTCCAGAATCCTTCATACATTTATGAATTGTTTAAGACCGTCAATTGACTAGAGAAATCCTGAATTTTATTTCAATGAGAATATCAAAATGTGAATAAAGAGCCTAAGCTTGTTTGTTGTACTCACTCCAATTTTCTCTTTTTTTTTTTTTTTTTTTATTCTGTCATATGTTGTCATTTTAAGGATTAAAAGGAAAAACTAGAATAGCTCTTGCAGCTGGGAATTAGCGGCAGAGTTATGATTTCTTAGATCTATTGCAATTAAATAAGAGGGTGAAATCCTGGCCCCACTGAAGTTGGTGATAGCTTTGCCATTGACTTCACTAAAGCCAGGATTGTACCCAGAGAGAATTACAACAGTTAAGTTCTCTCATTTGTGAAGAGCAATGCTGGCAGCAGGTTGGTAAAATCCTTTTCTATCCATGCTGTCCAATAACTGGTTGCATTTCTGTTTGGAAGGTGTAAGGTAAACACAAAATCAGTTTAAGAACAAGGTTATTATTTCAAAACTGAATACTGCATTTAAACTGCTCTTGTAAGAGATTTATAATGTAACATGCATGCTAGTTTTCCTAGTACTTGACTGCATTTTCCAGTAATATGCTTTTGACATTCATATTTGCAAAAAATAAAGTGAATGCTTTCTGTTTTAAAGCAGTTCATTAAGGTGCAAACTGTAGAATATACAATGTCCTTCAAAAATTAATGTGCTTTTTTCCTCTTTGATGGTCCTTGTTTTGCTGCTAGTTGTAGGATATAACGTAAATCATCATGTTGTGGTTTTTTGTAAACTTTGGAGAATTTTTTTTAAAGCCTCACATTAAATACATTTTTCTCTATCCATGAACTGCAAAAAGCAGTTCCCCTTAAAAAACATCTAACCGGTTTTCTCTATTGCGAATATAGTATTTTGCATTATAACTCACTTTTGTCTGAACTGTTAATGTGCCAAATCCTGTAGTCTTTATGTAAGCAAGTCTTCTATTAATGCCACTGGAGATGGGGTCAATAGAAGTTTTATCTAAGTAAAAACTGCCAATAAGGTTCCCTGAATAGTCGTAGTAGTCTAGACCACAAATTTAAATAATAAATAACTCCTTTTTGCCAATTTAAAGGCAGTAAATCTAATAGTGTCATAAGATGCAGTAATTATACAGAAGTGTGATTTGGCAAATCTGGCAATCTGAGCAAAATCATTCTCTCTCTCCTCTGATGGCATAGACCATCACCCCACCTTGACAGACCATCAGTTCATCTACCAACATATTGTGCTCTTACCAGCAATGTTTGAACTGAATATTTCCCCCCCTCAAGGCCTTTGTAGAGGGAGTCCAGAGTATATCCTTTGTGAAAAAAAATTCTGTATCTTCACACCATTTTTATACAAACTCACATGCTCCAAAAACAAGTATTTGCTCTTGAATAATATATTGGGCCAGAGATACAGGCCATACCAGGAAATGATGGTTTAGCTGAGCCCAGAGAGAAGGAGATGAACTCCAGCTGCCCAAGGAGATTCCCCCCCACCCCTTTCCGTTCAGTTCAAACACTAATAAGAAGGGACATAATATGTATGTGGAGAGAATCACTATCACTTATAGGTGCATAACCCATTTATTTCCCCCAAATGCACAATAGTTCATTAATTGGCAGTTCTTTAATTGGCAGCCCAAAGTTACCTTCCTCCCCACACTGTCCATCCCTGAACAGTCAGTATTGAGACTTGTACAGAAAATTATTTGTTATCCCCAGCGTTCTTGAAGGCTACACTAAGTTAAATCCATATGCATTTATACTTTCTGGATTTCTTCATTGGCATTTCTTATTCTTCTAAATTTGCATTATGTAGATAAATAAACTTCCATTACAGTTATATGCAAATGGCGTAATAAACTTAAATAACTGACTTCCAATCCTTTGGTAGTGCAGTGTATTGTTAATAAGAAATGGATTGGTTTTCTTCTGTTTTAAAATTAAAAGTCCTTTTCTACTTTTTTCATTCTTGGTTTTATTTGCTAGCTTGAGCATATGGTTTAAGTTGTTGGGAGTATTTTTATAGCAAATAACAGTAATCTCTTTTAAAAATTCTAGTGTATTTCTTTCATAATAGCTACTAGTAAGTAGGGTTTCACATTGTTCCTCATTGTCTATAGGTTTCACATTGGGTTCTGTCAGAAAGAATGTGATGACATGGTTGCTTCATAACAGTGCAATTTTCACATGACCACACATTTGCCTTTCAGCTTCTCTTTCCTTTTCTGCTGTTTACTTTTTTTACCATCAATTTGTAAACTCACAGTCCTGCGTTTCTCTAAGTTTAGCAGCTCTTGGAACAGCTCTTTCACATTGTGGTTCAACTTGGCAGAAGTCTCCATAAAGGCACACTTCCACTTCTTGGCCATGGCTTCTCCCTCACTGCTCTCCACCTCTCGGTTTTGGTTTTCATCACTTTTATTCCCCACCAACATAATTGGAATACTTTCCACATCCCCTTTAATCTGACAGATTTGTTCGTAGATGGGTTTGAGTTCCTCCAAGGACTGCCGGCTGGTGATTGAATAAACCAAAATGAAAGCATGTCCTTTGGAAATAGACAGACGTTGCATGGCTGGAAACTGGTGGCTCCCTGTAGTGTCAGTAATCTGCAAAGTGCATATGCTCTTATCACAGCTGATCACCTGCCTGTAGGTGTCTTCTATAGTTGGAATGTAGCTCTCTTTGAAAGTCCCTTTCACAAACCTCAAGACCAAGGAACTTTTGCCAACTCCTCCAGCTCCAAACACCACCACTCTGTAATCATTGCTTTGCTCAGGCATGCTTTTCAGTGTATCTGATGCTCAACTAGGGGGAAAAAAAACAACCTAGGAAAGAAAATGTAACAAAATATTAATACAGCTTTCAGGGGGAGGGAAAATGCTTTATATCTTCTTCAGTAAGTGAAGTGAGAGAGTCACTGAAGTAATGCATATTAATAATGCATACTGACTCAACAAGACTGATTGTGGGTTGTAGGGCAATTTATCTCAACACTGCTTCTGGATTCCAGTCCAATGTGCATTCCAGTCCAGTGCAGGTTGATAATGGATGGAAGTTATGGCCATCTTGTGCTATTTGATGGCCTTTGTAAACTGAATGTGGTAACTTTAAGTCCAGTTACTAGTGGGCAAATATACCAGCACAAAAAATACCCATCCAGTTGACTTCCATGATGATAGTCCGCCTACAAAAAGTCTGAATTGGGTACAAGGATAGAGTTATAAGCTCATGCAAAGAGAACATCCTTTGAGTCATAATTGAAACATACTGATGAGGAGACCGGTCTGTGTGAGCATGTCCAACACATGCTATTCCTCTTCTGTGACTAGAGAATTTGTCTCCATTGCAGTACAACTCACACTTTTCACAAGCAAAACTTGAAGCTAATGAATAAATGTGAGTCTCTCATTAATAGCATTTAGTGTTTCATGTTTTTCTTTGGGGGTTTTCACCATTTTGGTTTTACCTCAAATACTGTTTTATTACCTAAACGATCAAGCTCATTTATCATTCAAGAGGGAAACTATTTTCTTTGATTCAGAGTTTGGTTATTGCATTCTAGAATTTTTTTCAGATAATATTTGTCTCAATTTACCAGGGGGAAAAAAAAAAGATATCTGCGTCTTCATACAATTTTGAAAAAAAACCATATTGTCACATCTGCAAAGGGATCAGAATGCATGTTATATTTGATAATGGTTTCACTGTCAACCTTGAAGATAAGCAGATTTAACAAGTTTACCTCTCACCAAAAATCTCTCCCTAAGCAATTAACTACAAATCTGGTTATAATAATAATTTATTACATCAGTAAAGAGGAATCCAAAGGTTCTCTTAACTATGGTAATTCCAGAATTAGAGAAAGTTTAGCTGTAATCAAAGGTTCATCTAAGGGCTAAATCCTGCTGACTTTATGATTGATTATTTATAAAATAACAGAAAGATTCCTGTTCACATCTGTGGATGTTTGTCAGGCCCTTAATGATACAAAATGTATCTACATTTCAAAATAAGATTTATGCAGGTATAAGAAGTGACAAACTGGAGTAAAAGGTAAAGCACAGAAGAAAGTAAAGTTAGTTTATAGTTTAATTCAATTTAAGGACAGACAGGAACCCTTAGATTGTGTAGTATGACATTGTATGTATCATAAGCCATTTAATTCCACACAGTTATTTTTGTGTGGAGCCCAATAACTTGTTTCACTAAAGCATAGCTTCCAAAAAGGCATGTCTTCAAGACATTGAGAATTTTCTCCTTATTTCCAATTTGAATGCCTGGTTTCATTTTCTAATCATTGGCTCTTGTTATCCTTTTGATCAAAAAAATTAAAGAGCTCTTTGGTACTTAGTATTTTTTCTTGTGAAAGTATTTACACACTGTAGTCAAGTCAGCTCTGTCTTCTTTTCAATAAACTGAACAGCTCCAGCTCTTTAAGCTTCTCATTATCAGTACTTTCACCAACCTTCAAATCATGTTGGTGAGTATTTTTCATCCTCTCCAATTTTTCATCATCGTTCTGTATCCCCACTATTTTAGTATCCATCTCACCAATTTCATACACACAGGTAAAATCCTGTTTGGAATAGGAACTCCCTGTTCCTATTCACTACTTCCCTGTTTATACATCCAAAGATTTCCCAACTCAAGTCCCCCATTCTGCAGGCAAGACTTAGGTTCTTTGGTCTTAGAACCTATTGGAACCCCTCTGGAACACTAGAACCTTTGCCCCCATTCGATGATGATTTTCCACTGAGAGCTAACTTTTTATATTTGCCAGTTGTCTAAATCCATTCAACACATGTTGTATTCATATTTTATTGTTCTAATTTTAAATCAGAATATTTCATGGTCCTAAATCAAATAATTAAAAGGTCTGTTTACTACATCTATACAAAAGCGGTGAGGAGTCCTGTGGCACCTTATAGACTAACCAAAGTGTTGGAGCATAAGCTTTCATGGGCAAAGACCCACTTCGTCAGATGCATGTAGGTGCATCTATAAGGTGACACGGGACTCCTCACCGCTTTTGCAGATTCAGACTAACACAGCTACCCCTCTGATACTTTACATCTCTACAGTTACCTTTATCAACCAAATTTGTAATATCAAAGAATGAAATCAGGTTTGTTTGAAAAGACCTATTTCTATAAACCCAGGTTGATTGGCATTAATTATATTCCTCTCCCTTACTTCTTTTAGTCAAAATCCCACATCAGCTTTTTCACTGATGTTAGATGAACAAGCAATTCCATTTTCCCTTTTTCAATAGTCGCAATATTGATAGTACTCTTCCGTGCATCTATACTGCACTGTAACTCGAAAAAGAAATTTAAGCCACGCAAATTGCATATCTTATTTTGATTCTGTTTTGAAATAGCTTATAATTTTGAAATAAAGTGCTATCCAAAACATCCCTTACTCCTTGTAGAATAAGGTTTACAGGGACGTTGGAATAGAGAGCCAAAATAATGGAGAAGACTTGGGATAGCTATTTCAGAATACTCCGGTATACCAAAATAACGTTGCAGTATAGGTGTAGCCTTCCAGTCCTCTAGAATTTCCCCTCTATTTTATTAAAAATTAACATGAGTGTATCTGAGTCTTTCTTTTCTAGTTCTTTTAGGACTCTGGGGTGCAAATTATCTGGATCTGCTGATTTTTAAAGTGCTTATCTCTGTAGATGCTGCTGCTGCTGCTTAACAGCCTCCTTGGTTACTAATAGACTAAAAAGTACAAATGAGATCCAGGCACATTATCTTCCTCCTGCTTTCCAAATACAGAACAGAAATATTTAGTGAGCACTTCCATCTCTGGATCATTAAGTTATACAGTTTCCATTTAGTACTGGACATATACTATTTATAAGATTCCTTGTGTTCCTAATATACTTTATAAATTTCCTTATATTCTTACTCCTGTCAGCTGTGAATTTTTCCCTGATGTCTTCATTTTATCAATTATCTATATTCCCCGTTTATATTGATTGCTATTCACTCCACTTTTCCCCATTTGTTTTATACTGCTTTTTTATTTCTAATTACTACCTTCACATTTCCAGTGAACCAGGATGGGCTTTCAGTCAATGTTATCTTTTTTTTGATTGTGGATTTGGAATCCTCTAGAACTCATGTTTTTAATTTTCATCCAGTTTCCTTGAAAAGACTGATAATTAAGAGTGACCACACTTGCAGAGAGTAGTAGACCACATGCTCTGCTTATATCCTCTTTTTTGGAATTCCTTATTAAATTATTTGCACTGTAACTCTTAATTTATATTCACTGCTATCCACTTTCCCTTTATTCTATTTATTAATACTGTCTCTTGATATTTTATTGCATTAACAAAATTGGAGGAACCAACAACTTGGGAGGATAGTCTAGTGAAAGTATGGACTTCAGGAACACAACACAGAGTGGCTTAGAAAATACAGTAGAGTACTAGAAGAAGGATGGGAAAGGAAGAAAAGCTTTTGTGAGACAGAGTAAGTGGTTGGTTAATCTGTGCTACTGAGAAAATGGAGAACACAAATGCATCCCTCCCAGAACCTGCAACCCTACCCCTCCTGTACCCCAATCCTCTGTGCTAACCCAGTACCCAAATTCTTTCCCAGATCTATAACCCTCCCTGACCCCAAATCCCTCCCAGAGCCTTAAGCAGGTGCAGGCCCTGGGCATTCCAGGTGCCACCAACATTTCTGCAAACCCGCCACGCCTCTGGCACAGGAATTGTTAGTTCCAATTTTTATCAGCAGAAAGATTATCTTCAAACTGCTATTGGCAATGTAGTTATATGTTCGAGCAGAATCTCAGCCAGGAGAAAATATTAACTAAAAATAACTCCTGTCTTTCTTCACAGTATTTAAGTACATTACAAAGCTACTAGCTAAGTCACATCAGGTCGGGACATGGTATGTAGAGTGCAAGACCAAATGAATCATTAAAATTCTCTCATGCATTCCGTTTCACTGAAAAGACAGAAAACAAAACTGGTGCTTGTGTGTTTTGTCATCTTCTGCTCCCGCTTTGATAAGCTACTATGGCAAGTTGCCTTGTTTTTATAACTGTTCTTTGTTAATCCACTTATTGATAATTACCATGTTTTAACATTGTTCTCCATGCTGGAAACTTCATGCTTCCCAGGGGGGGGGGATTTAAATCTCTCTTATGTATTATTAATATACCTTTGCAAACGAAGGTTTCTGATATATTTCAACTATTATGAAGCTAACTTCTCTAAAGTAAAGGAGTACTTCTATAGAGAAGTGCTAAAGCCTAAATAAGCTATGCAACTTGAGCTACGTCAATTGTGTAGTTTAAGTCAAAATAGCTTATTTCGGTTTTTGGCACTGTCTACACAGTAGGAAGTTTGAAATAGAGCACTTTTCCTCCAACTTCTCTTGCTCCTCAAACAATGAGGATTACAGGAGTTTGAGTAAGAAGTTCTCCGGCTTGACATTATTTTGACATTATGTCAAAATAACTGCTTGTAGTGTAGACACAGACTAGATTATTTTGGATTAATGTCAATTATTCCAAAATAACACTGCTGTGTAGATGTACCCAAGAATAGGAATTTCCAAAATGTAACACAATCCTTCATATGTTGATGACAAAGGGACCTCAAAGCACAATCATACCATAGCTTTGGTCAGATCATTTTAAATGATGCAAAAAAAAAATCATTAAACCAGCTAACCTGTAATTTCTCAGGGTTTTCTTAATGCCTGCAATGCAATATAGAATTCAGAATGACGTCTATTTCAGGAACCTCTTAACAGTATTGCTATGCATTCTCTCTGCCTGCAGCCATTCTTCCTTATGC